GATGGCCAGATGTTTTTCTGGTTCTGCTCTACCTTGTAGGAAGTCTGGAATCTGAGGCCTGGCAAAGAAATAAACCATCTAACCCTGCTCATGGTTTCACAGGGTACAACTCTGTTCTGCAAAGAAGAGAGATGAAGCTTTACCAATTGCAGGCATTCACATGACTGGTTGAGCAAAAGCTTGGAAACAAGAATGCATTTTTAAGCACATTATTAGCAAGACAAAAATCAGAGAAGTGACTCTCCAACTGGCTGTAGTGACAGCTGCAGGTGTTTTATCCCTGTCCAGTCCCAGCATCAACTGATTTTTCAATTACTTGAAATGAGTTTTCCAAACCAACTTTTTTTTTCTCCTTTTTTGGTGATGTACATGATTTTACTCCTCTGGATCCATCTTCTTGACACAGCTTTTTTATATATAGCCTGTACCAAGCAGAATTCAAGACAAGAGGAGGAAGTTAAGTTCAGCATAGGAACAAAGGATACCTTCGATAGTTTTTTCCTTGAAATACAAGCAGAGTAAAACATAAGTCATTTCCTAGTGATGGAAGCTCATAACTGTTGTATCAGTTCAGGCCCAGGGTAGCTGTGCACAAGCACCTGTGCTGCTAAAGCCAACTAAATAGAAATTCAGCCATACCACATTGCTTGTATTAAGAGCCCTTAGACCTGCTACAGGACAGAAAGCAAGTTCCAGGCTGTAAAGCAGCTTAGAGTAAAGGAGAGATAAGTGATAAAACGTAATTGATATGGGTATCTTAAAGCCATAAAGGAGCTGGGATTGCTGTATTAAAAGGCAAGAAGCAACAGCAGGAAACAAAAGCAAGCATAACATTTCTTGGAGAAAATAAGCTGATGCCTTCAATCCTGCCATTTTGAACTGTTGTAGGAGGAGGACTTTTACTTGTCTGCTAACTGAAAGGTCTTGCAACTCATCTACAGCTCATTTTTCCATGTGTCAGATAAAAATGCACATACCACCTGTATTTTCATCCTACTTCCTATGGCCCCTAGAAATTTAGCACTAAAATATTTGCATGTAGTTATTTCCAACTGTATGATTTTGAATTCCTATTACATTTATGAATAAATGGTGATCTGAACCTGTAGAGTATAAGCTGCAGTTATTCCTATTTCCCAGCTGTTATGCTATGGTGGTAATAATGCCACCTGCAGCATCTCTGTATATTCTCTAATCTTCTCATCGCCCCAGGTAAAGCTTAGACTTGCCATCCTTTCCGTCTCAGAGAACAAACTCAGGCAGAGAAAAGAGGCTCAGCAATAGAAAAGCTGCTGCCTTTAATTAAATCACAATGAAGTCTGTAATTGTAGCCCAGGGAAGAGTCTTTTAAATAAACTCATATGTGTTATAGCAAACACTTGAGATGCAAGGTGGAAGTCAGTCACTAGTTTTTCAAATTAGCACATCTTTAAATTGGTTTCTACAAATAACACAGAAAGCATCATTAAAAACCATTGACCTGCCTTGAGCACAAAAAGGCTCCTTCTTCTGCTGTCTCTGATACAACTAGCACAGTCTCCCGAGTCTTTTTGCAACCCTCTAGTCGAGCTGCAGTAAATTTTCAAGATTCTTCAGAGCACCTATTTTTTACAAGAAGAGAAACTGATACAGGCTCCAGGCATTTTTTCCTACATGATCTTCATTTTCAAAATGTACTAACTCAAGTCTAGCTTACCTCAGTCAGAGATGACAGCAGCAACCACACTATATGCAAGCATTTCCACATAAGCAAATCTCTGCTAAGGCACACATGTGGCAGTTCTGTAGCAAGAAAACGTATTGTCCCTGTCTCCCTTTACAATATACCATCTGGCTTCTTCACGTCTCACTTGAGAAAATGCCTCATCCAAAGTTCTGTGGCTTTTGCTTTCTCCCTTGTCTAAGAAGGATTGGTACTATAAAGATTAGTATGCTTTAGCCATAGAAAAATCAAAGAGCCCGGTAGTTCTGAGAAAACAGGACCAGGATAGAGTGTTCAGCTATCAGCTTGAAATACCAAACAGTGCTGGGGTACTTTCAGTACAGATTTACTGCATCTTACTAACAGATCACATTGTTCTGAAGTATCATCTCTATGTCAGTGGGAATTATCACCATGAAGAATGACGCAAGTTCTGTAAGAACACCAATAGAAACAGATACTGTACCTGAACTAAAAATCAAGGTCACACTGTAAACAGACACTAGCATGGCACATATACTCCACATTTGCTGCCCAAATACTGGCTTTCTCATGCTTATACATTCTGATTAAAATGCCACAGTAATGACATAGCAGCCACAGAAATGCTCTACAGGCCAAGTCTGTTTTAATTAAAGTTGCAGATTAAGGTGTCTAATTTCTAGTCTTCCTTTTCACATCCTTTTATTCCAATGTCAAATATGTAGTGAGGCATTTATGTTTGTATATACCATTCTCCTGACTCCATGTCCAGCCTAATAAATATATTAGGCTGACAAGTTGTACAAATGTTGTCTCTGCGCCTCTTTTGTTAAAGCTCATTATTTCCTTTTGCTTTCTCTCTTAACTTTTCCACGTTAGAACGCATTCAGCATTTTTGCTGTTTTCAGTCACTAACAAAATGGTGGGCTGTACCCTGCTGACAGTCAGGAACAGTGCTAGAGCCCTGCCCACACATCCTTCCTGAAGGGGAAAATCAGATTAACTGAGAGTCCAGCTGCTCCATGCTGCCAGCATGGGGCAGGGTGGGTAGAAGAGAGCCAGCACGGGGCTTCTTCAGCAGAACAAAGACAGAGGGAACCATCTAATATGTGCAAACGTACACACATTTCAAATTTGTGGAATAGCTTAGAAGAGGAATCTTTTTCAGGAGAAGTGAGAAAGGGAAAG